ATGCTGTTGATTGTCTGGTCCATACTGGATTATTTACAGACCGCCGCTATGTAGCCCTTATATTGCTGAGTGTGGCATAAAACTACACTCACTCACTTACATGCTGAGATTGTTGATGTTACTTAACCTGGTTGTGTCACCCTGGTGTGCGAGGTTGCAGCTCTGCATGTCACTGATGCTGTTGATAATGGCGGACTTCCTTCCTGTTTCACTTACGGCTTATAATCGGTGTTAACCCTTGCTCGATCACGGTACATCAGAACAACAGTTCTTAAGGAGAAGGTTTTCAAGAAATAAAGCTTTCAAGGATGTTGAGCAAAGTGACTGCTGTATCCCCCAGTGTGTGATTGGTGGGTGCTGTTTTACAAAGACGTGCTGTTGGGGCAGAAACAACGTTGAGTCTCTTCCCAGCCTATGTATCAGTGTACAGCAGCCATGTGTAGAGTCGCTGTGTGCCTGTTACATGAGGGCTATCAGATACGTCTGTGTGGAATACCAACAGCCAATTATGCAGTATAAATTTTATACAGATTTTTTATCCTTTTGAATGATGTCTTTTGTTGAGGCCTGTCCTGCGAGACCTTCCCGGTATAATGAGAATATCCTACTTCTTCATGAGAAATCAAGTTCTTCATGTTGTCAATCTTGGATGTGAAGTTCGGATGTTTTTGATCGAGAAGGAATAATGTTTTGCTGGACACCCATTACTTGTCCATTTGAGAAGAAGATCATACACAACCATTGCACCTCATTTTCGTTGTATGTTGTGCTGCACAGTAATTACCATGTTTCTTCTGCAATACTTGGGGCCTGCATTTGGAGACCTAAACAGGTTCAAACTAATTTGGACCAGAGTTTAGAAGGCTATACAACTGCTAAATGAATACAGAACACTCCATTGGTCAAATACAAGATAAATCCCTTCCAGCTATATGGCAGCAGGAGTGAGTGAGTGAGTTTAGTTTTTGCGGACTAGTATTCCAGCTATATGGCAGCAGGACTCCCAGCAGTATTACCCAGCTATATGGCAGTTTTATGCAGGATAAATCCCTATTGATAAAGTGAGTGAGTTTAGTTTTTATGCTCAGGACTCAGCAGTATTCCAGCAGTATATATGGCAGCAGGATAAATCCCTATTGAGTGAGAGTGAGTTTAGTTTTATGCGGACTCAGCAGCAGTATTCCAGCTATATGGCAGCAGGATAAATCCCTTGAGTGAGTGAGTTTAGTTTTATGCCGGACTCAGCAGTATACCAGCTATATGGCAGCAGGATAAATCCCTTGAGTGAGTGAGTTTAGTTTTATGCCGGACTCAGCAGTATTCCAGCTATATGGCAGCAGGATAAATCCCTTGAGTGAGTGAGTTTAGTTTTATGCCGGACTCAGCAGTATACCAGCTATATAGTTTTATGCGGCAGTATTCCAGCTATATGGCAGCAGGATAAATCCCTTGAAATTCATGTGCCAGAAATACTGGTGCCAACTTTTTATATGTTATGTGTGCTTCACAGGGAATCTACCACTTCTTGTTCTAGTTATGTTTGAGATGTCAATATGTCCTTGCGTTACGCCAGTTACCATGGTCTCTGACAGTGTGTTGATAGTGTTATCAAAGTGTAACCTGATTCCAGAAACATCCAGAGCAGCAGGTAATCTGAAGCTGTGAAAGAGTTATTTATCTGCGGGAAAGCACATTGTAGGCATGAAAAAGATTATCTAAATATGAAATGCTAGCAGATGAATAAACAGAACTTGGGTTTCGGTTTCTTATGGATATTGATTTCCACTAACTATTTTCCAAAAGAAAATTACGTTATCAATAAGTCCGTACACAAATTCATTGAAATTCTATAGATGGTGTTCAGATGTTCGTAATACCACACACACACAGCGCTGATGGTGGGGGAGGTGTATTTGTGAAGCAGCATGGATGGAAGATCAAGGCCTCTACGGCCTGGTATTACTGGGCGTTATGAATGTTATAACATACTGAGAGAATATCTAGAAACATTGATTAGATGTGATATATAACAGATTACCATCAGTTCTGGTCATAATGATCAATTAGCTCATGAAGAATGGCTCCACCCACCTCACACACAGGGAGTTGAAACATTTCTTCACATTTCTGGCCAACATGGCACGATGCCAAGTGAGATTGTGGTGTTTCATCATGTTTTTGTCCCCTCTCATCAGATACAGTTATCAGAATGATTGGCTGCCATTGCGTGGAAGTTTTTACAAGGGACTTGTTTGAGGTTCAGTTGTGGGCAGTGGAGGTACAGGAATCAAGCTGCATGCACTTCTATGTTGAAACACAAAGGAGATCATGTGATCATCAAACGGATATCTGGATCGATCGCTTGTTATGAACCAAATCATTGATTTTTTATTTTAACCAAATCCCATTAACAGTTGAGGACTCAGACATGGGGGGAGACTGTGTAATCAGAGACTGAGTTTGTTGATTCAGACATGGGGGGAGACTGTGTAATCAGAGACTGAGTTTGTTGATTCAGACATGGGGGGAGACTGTGTAATCAGAGACTGAGTTTGTTGATTCAGACATGGGGGGAGACTGTGTAATCAGAGACTGAGTTTGTTGATTCAGACATGGGGGGAGACTGTGTAATCAGAGACTGAGTTTGTTGATTCAGACTTCGGGGGAGACTGTGTAATCAGAGACTGAGTTTGTTGATTCAGACATGGGGGTAGACTGTAATAGGAGACTGAGTTTGTTGATTCAGACATGGGGGGAGACTGTGTAATCAGAGACTGAGTTTGTTGATTCAGACATGGGGGGAGACTGTGTAATCAGAGACTGAGTTTGTTGATTCAGACATGGGGGGAGACTGTGTAATCAGAGACTGAGTTTGTTGATTCAGACATGGGGAGACTGTGTAATAGGAGACTGAGTTTGTTGATTCAGACATGGGGAGACTGTGTAATCAGAGACTGAGTTTGTTGATTCAGACATGGGGGGAGACTGTGTAATCAGAGACTGAGTTTGTTGATTCAGACATGGGGGGAGACTGTGTAATCAGAGACTGAGTTTGTTGATTCAGACATGGGGGTAGACTGTAATAGGAGACTGAGTTTGTTGATTCAGACATGGGGGGAGACTGTGTAATCAGAGACTGAGTTTGTTGATTCAGACATGGGGGGAGACTGTGTAATCAGAGACTGAGTTTGTTGATTCAGACATGGGGGGAGACTGTGTAATCAGAGACTGAGTTTGTTGATTCAGACATGGGGGGAGACTGTGTAATCAGAGACTGAGTTTGTTGATTCAGACATGGGGGGAGACTGTGTAATCAGAGACTGAGTTTGTTGATTCAGACATGGGGGGAGACTGTGTAATCAGAGACTGAGTTTGTTGATTCAGACATGGGGGTAGACTGTAATAGGAGACTGAGTTTGTTGATTCAGACATGGGGAGACTGTGTAATCAGAGACTGAGTTTGTTGATTCAGACATGGGGGTAGACTGTAATAGGAGACTGAGTTTGTTGATTCAGACATGGGGGGAGACTGTGTAATCAGAGACTGAGTTTGTTGATTCAGACATGGGGGAGACTGTGTAATCAGAGACTGAGTTTGTTGATTCAGACATGGGGGGAGACTGTGTAATAGGAGACTGAGTTTGTTGATTCATCTCATAAACAGAAACATGTTGCTGGAGAGATAATAGGACGTGAATATGCGTCATGTGATGGATATGGTGGCATCCTCGCCGCCTTCCATCTTATCCTGCTAATCTCCACTCCCAGCATGTAACACATTACTCTCATTACGATATGAATCAAATACCAGGCTTGTAAATTGCATGTTAATTGCTGTCTCAGTCGCTATGTACGCTGGTCTGCCAGGTCTTCACCTGGCAAATGCCCACACATTCTGAAATTGCTGCTCATTAGAGATGATTAACAAGGGTTTGATGCTGACATCTACGACGTCATGTGATATTTATCCTGCTAATTCAGGCAATTAGCATTGGTTCAGGACTGATGAGGCCGACTAGGGACGGCTCAGGCTTCTGAAGAAAAGGTTGCATTGTCAAGCAGTTGTGTGGAATATAGTATTTTGATGGTAATTATAGAGATAATTATAATTGCCCATAATTGTTGCTAGTCCTGAGTGCTGTTTTCCTGTAGATGTAATGATATTTGTTACAGTTGCGCGATAATGACATGGATGTGAATCTATCAGTGATACAGCCTTCATTATCACTCAGATGCACAGGTCATTTTTAAAACGAATAATTGTCGAAAGATTAGAGTTCATTTGGCTTTTATAGTTTGTGGGGAATATGGACCTGGGTGCCATTGTACAGAATAGCTTTAGAGCTACGTCTATCGTAAGTCAATGTTAAAGTATGAGAGTAACGATCACATTAGCCCTAAGCTTGCTTTGTACCACAGTACCCTACACGATGAGTGGTTGTAAATCCTTCAGAAATTCAATTGTTTAAACTGTTCAGATGTTTTTTCAGGGAAGTGTGTCATCATGGAAAATCAATTACAAAACAATAATCAATTATAAATTAAACAGGAATATACATTTTTTGTATGATCTAGGAAATATTTGTTCACCCACATAGCAAAAGTTACTGCTTACAAGTTGCTTCGTATGGTGTCTTGTTTTTTGTAAAAAAAAATCACTTGGGAAAGGCATTGACAAATCTTAACGAGTCAGCAAGATAGTGTGTCCAGCAATACGGCTGTATTTATATGTGACAGGGGAATATGTTGCTGTACAGAGATCTCAAGAACTTCTTGAAAATTTTAATTAAGGTTTGGACACAATAGAATTTCCAATAAACCTGATCTATAGTAGCTGCTATACAATAAATCAAGATGAGAAACCTCCACATGTAATTGAACTTGCTGCTTGGTGTAGGTGGCTGGTTTGCCTTTTAGCTCACCTGGACCAGTGGTTGGAGCCAGTCAACCTTGTAGCTCACCTAGACCAGTGGTAGGTGACAGTCTACCTTGTAGCTAACCTGGACCAGTGATCGGAGCCAGTCAACCTTGTAGCTCACCTGGAACAGTGATAGGAGCCAGTCAACCTTGTAGCTCACCTGGACCATTGGTAGGTACCTGCCAGCATTGTAGCTCTCCTGGACCATTGGTAGGTGCCAGTCAACCTTGTAGCTCATTTGAGCCAGTGCTGGGTGCCCAGTCAACCTTGTAGCTCATTTGAGCCAGTGCTAGGTGCCAGTTAACCTTGTAGCTCATTTGAGCCAGTGCTAGGTGCCAGTCAACCTTGTAGCTCATTTGAGCCAGTGCTGGGTGCCCAGTCAACCTTGTAGCTCATTTGAGCCAGTGCTAGGTGCCAGTTAACCTTGTAGCTCATTTGAGCCAGTGCTAGGTGCCAGTCAACCTTGTAGCTCATTTGAGCCAGTGCTAGGTGCCAGTTAACCTTGTAGCTCATTTGAGCCAGTGCTAGGTGCCAGTCAACCTTGTAGCTCATTTGAGCCAGTGCTAGGTGCCAGTTAACCTTGTAGCTCATTTGAGCCAGTGCTAGGTGCCAGTCAACCTTGTAGCTCATTTGAGCCAGTGCTAGGTGCCAGTCAACCTTGTAGCTCATTTGAGCCAGTGCTGGGGTGCCAGTCAACCTTGTAGCTCATTTGAGCCAGTGCTAGGTGCCAGTCAACCTTGTAGCTCATTTGAGCCAGTGCTAGGTGCCAGTTAACCTTGTAGCTCATTTGAGCCAGTGCTAGGTGCCAGTCAACCTTGTAGCTCATTTGAGCCAGTGCTAGAGTGCCAGTTAGCCTTGTAGCTCATTTGAGCCAGTGCTGGGTGCCAGTCAACCTTGTAGCTCATTTGAGCCAGTGCTAGGTGCCAGTCAACCTTGTAGCTCATTTGAGCCAGTGCTAGGTGCCAGTCAACCTTGTAGCTCATTTGAGCCAGTGCTAGGTGCCAGTCAACCTTGTAGCTCATTTGAGCCAGTGCTGGAGTGCCCAGTCAACCCAGCTCTGAGCCAGTGCTAGAGTGCCAGTCAAGGAGCCAGTCAACCTTGTAGCTCATTTGAGCCAGTGCTGGCCAGTGCCAGTGGCAGGAGCCAGTCAACCTTGTAGCTCAACATGCCGTGTAGCTCATTTGAGCCAGTGCTAGATGCCAGTCAACCTTGTAGGTCATTTGAGCCAGTGCTAGGTGCCAGTCAATGTTGCAGCTCACCTGGACCAGTGGCAGGAGCCAGTCAACCTTGTAGCTCTTCTGAGCCAATGGCAGTTGCATGCCAGCTGGCAGGGCACCTGCCATGCAACAGTCAACAGGTGGCAGTGGTAGGTGCCCAGTCAACCTTGTAGCTAACATGGATCAGTACTGAGTGCCTGGCAAGCAAGTCACCTGGATCATGATGGGAAAAGATGTCAGCGATCCTGCTAGTTATTTGTGGACATCTAGTATTTCCCCCTAGAATGTATGAACAATAACATGTTTTCTAAATGCAGTGAACACCATACATAATGCTTATTCTAGGGCAATCAGTATATTGGTTAAAAGATTTTTTCGAGTATTACATGTAGAAAAGAACATTAGATCTCAAATTCAGGCGATCAAAACTTGATCAATTAAAAAATTAGGTGTCAGATAAAAATTCACTAGACAAGATGTTTTTCCATTTCCAAGATGTCAGACATTTCTGACGTCCATTTGTCAAAAGCAATGGAATTAAGTTGTATTTTCTTGTACAGTGACTGTCCATGGATGGCTGAGTTATGTCTCCTGTGGTAGTTGATGTAAATGTCCAGTATGCATGCTCACATAGCACTGTAATATAAACACAACTTCCGAGAGTTGTCCCAAGGTTTGCTCAATAATTGCTGGTCTTACAGGTTGGAGAGTGAGATTTGGTAACCGGGGTAAAATTTCACAACACAGTATCATATGATCCAAGTTTCGACAAGTCTTGTCGTGGACTCAAGTACATGATCTAAATCCAACGTGGGCTGACCAGTAAGATTAGCAAGCTGTGACAGGGGCTATACAGTCAGATTATAATTAACTTGACAAAAGCCTACAGCAAGCTCACATCCCACTCAAGTCATACTCATTAGCTGTCGATCAGCAGGGAAAAGTACACCATGTGATCTCAGATATTGATCTCAGTACTGGTATGATGTGTGTGGTAATACCAGTGTCCAGTACTGGTATGATGTGTGTGGTAATACCAGTGTCCAGTACTGGTATGATGTGTGGTAATACCAGTGTCCAGTACTGGTATGATGTGTGGTAATACTAGTGTCCAGTACTGGTATGATGTGTGGTAATACTAGTGTCCAGTACTGGTATGATGTGTGGTAATACTGATGTGTGGTAAGTGTCCAGTACTGGTATGATGTGTGGTAATACCAGTGTCCAGTACTGGTATGATGTGTGGTAATACTAGTGTCCAGTACTGGTATGATGTGTGGTAATACTAGTGTCCAGTACTGGTATGATGTGTGGTAATACTAGTGCCCAGTACTGGTATGATGTGTGGTAATACTAGTGCCCAGTACTGGTATGATGTGTGGTAATACTAGTGTGTACTCAATACCAGTATAGTGTCCCAGTACTGGTATGATGTGTGGTAATACTAGTGTCCAGTACTGGTATGATGTGTGGTAATACTAGTGTCCAGTACTGGTATGATGTGTGGTAATACTAGTGTCCAGTACTGGTATGATGTGTGGTAATAAGTGCCCAGTACTGGTAATACCAGTGTCCAGTACTGGTATGATGTGTGGTAATACTAGTGTCCAGTACTGGTATGATGTGTGGTAATACTAGTGCCCAGTACTGGTATGATGTGTGGTAATACTAGTGTCCAGTACTGGTATGATGTGTGGTAATACTAGTGTCCAGTACTGGTATGATGTGTGGTAATACTAGTGTCCAGTACTGGTATGATGTGTGGTAATACTAGTGTCAGTAATACTGGTATGATGTACTGGTATGATGTGTGGTAATACTAGTGTCCAGTACTGGTATGATGTGTGGTAATACTAGTGTCCAGTACTGGTATGATGTGTGGTAATACTAGTGTCCAGTACTGGTATGATAATGTGGTAATACTGGTATGATGTGCGGTAAATAATAGTGTCCAGTACTGGTATGATGTGTGATGTGTGGTAATACAGTACTGGTATGATGTGTGGTAATAGTGCCCAGTACTGGTATATGATGTGTGGTAATACTGAGTGTCCAGTACTGGTATGATGTGGTATGTGGTAATACTAGTGTCCAGTACTGGTATGATGTGTGGTAATACTAGTGCCCAGTACTGGTATGATGTGTGGTAATACTAGTGCCCAGTACTGGTATGATGTGTGGTAATACTAGTGCCCAGTACTGGTATGATGTGTGGTAATACCAGTGTCCAGTACTGGTATGATGTGTGGTAATACTAGTGTCCAGTACTGATATGATGTGTTTGGTTATACTATCTTGAAGGCTATAATAAGTTCCTTTGTTGTAACATAAAACTTTTGAAAGCTGAAATCCGGTAAGGGTAGATGTGTTTTTATGAAGAAAAATCAAATTTTCCATGGAGCTAAGTGGACCCAGAAGGCAGACTTTTACTTGTGAACTACATTACATCTGATGACTACATCAACTGTGAACTACATTACATCTGATGAATACATCAACTGTGAACTACATTACATCTGATGAATACATCAACTGTGAACTACATTACATCTGATGACTACATCAACTGTGAACTACATTACATCTGATGACTACATCAACTGTGAACTACATTACATCTGATGACTACATCAACTGTGAACTACATTACATCTGATGACTACATCAACTGTGAACTACATTACATCTGATGAATACATCAACTGTGAACTACATTACATCTGATGACTACATCAACTACATTACATCTGATGAATACATCAACTGTGAACACATTACATCTGATGAATACATCAACTGTGAACACATTACATCTGATGACTACATCAACTGTGAACTACATTACATCTGCTACATCAACTGTACATCAACTGTGAACTACATTACATCTGATGACTACATCAACTGTGAACTACATTACATCTGATGACTACATCAACTGTGAACTACATTACATCTGATGACTACATCAACTGTGAACTACATTACATCTGATGACTACATCAACTGTGAACTACATTACATCTGATGAATACATCAACTGTGAACTACATTACATCTGATGAATACATCAACTGTGAACTACATTACATGATGACTACATCAACTGTGAACTACACACTTACATCTGATGACTACATCAACTGTGAACTACATTACATCTGATGACTACATCAACTGTGAACTACATTACATCTGATGACTACATCAACTGTGAACTACATTACATCTGATGACTACATCAACTGTGAACTACATTACATCTGATGAATACATCAACTGTGAACTACATTACATCTGATGACTACATCAACTGTGAACTACATTACATCTGATGACTACATCAACTGTGAACTACATTACCTCTGATGACTACATTACATCTGATGACATACATCAACTGTGAACTACATTACATCTGATGAATACATCAACTGTGAACTACATTACATCTGATGACTACATCAACTGTGAACTACATTACATCTGATGAATACATCAACTGTGAACTACATTACATCTGATGACTATATCAACTGTGAACTACATTACATCTGATGAATACATCAACTGCTCAGTATAAGTGCATGATCGGATTGTCCGCGGCTAACACCAATCCCTACTGTTTCCTGCCCGGAGCTTGATGAGTCCTGGCAACCAATCTAATTCTGTAGTAGTAGTAGTATTTCTTGTAAGTCTACCTTGTCACATATCACTCACCATTCGTTGGTTTCACATTAATTTTCAACTCGCTGTGCGCATGCGTAGAGCGTGTAAAAATATCCACTGGTCATCTTCCGGTTTGGTCGTATTAGCGATATTGTAAACACACTCTAAATAAATGCTGTATGAATATTATTTACGCGTGACAACTGTTCATAGTTGAGTACATCCATCCATTTGCCTATGCTTTTCAATAATTGATGTCCTATTTTGGTGGCATTGCATCAGAGATGTGTTTTTACTTGTGAGAAGGGGATGTGCAGGAAGGACGGTGGACGGGTGGTGGTGAGATGTGTTT